AGTATAGTTTTAGAAGATGGTGCAAGTCAGGACTGGGTTGCATTGGCAGAGCTCTCTGTGGAAAGTTTACACAGTTCCTCCCGGCTTTAATTTAAATATCATTCTTAATCTAAATTTAGTATATTAAAAAATGCCAATATGACTAATTTGGAAACTGTTGTCTCTGAGCCAAGAGGTTGTGGGTTCAAGACCCAACACCAGAAATTGTGTTAGAGGTACTGTTATTCAAAAGAGGCATTCAGACAAGTTCCTTATCTAGCTTCCTGTGGTGCTTGTCCAAGCAGAGGTTAGTTAAGACCCATTAATTAAGCACTAGTGGTAATCAAGAGTGGAGGCTGAAGTATAAAGAGTGTATAAGTGTTTTTACTATCACCATCTCCTTTGAGCAACATAAAAAATGCAACATAATGTAACCAGTTTATTTTTTTTTCCATTACCACATACAGGATAATGGTAACCTGTGGAGGCACAAGTAAAGCTTCAGAGATTAATTTAAAATGTTTTGGTCTGGAGGAAAGATGAAAGGAGTTAGGTATAGGGTTGCCAGGCATCCAGTTTTTGACCAGAATGCCTGGTCAAAAAGGGACCCTGGCAGCGCCAGTCAGCACTGCTAACAAAGCCGCTTAAAAGTCTGGTTGGTGGAGCAGTGTGGCTAAGGCAGGCTTCCTGCCTGCCCTGGCTCCACATGGCTCCCAGAAGCAGCTCGTATGTCCAGCTCCTAGGCACAGGGGCAGCCACGGAGCTCCACGTGATGCCCTCATCCCAAGCACTGGCTCCACAGCTCCCATTGGTCGGGGGCCACGGCCAATGGGAGCTGTAGGATGGCATCTGCGGGCATGAGCAGTGCAGAGAGCCCCCTGTGCCTAGGAGCCAGACGTATCAGCTGCTTCCAGGAGCCGCCTGAGATAAGCGCTGCCTGGCTGGAGCCTGCACCGTGAACCTCCTCCCACACCCCAACCTCCTGTCCCAACCCTGAGCTTCCTCCCTCACCCTAACTCCCTCCCAGAGCCCACACCCCCTCCCACACCTGAACCCGTTGGCCCCAGCCCTGAGGCCCCTCCCACACCCAAACTCCCTTCTAGAGCCTCCACCCCAGAACCCACACCCCAGCTGGAACCCACACCCCGTCCTGTATCCGAACCTCTCAGCCCCAGCCCTGAGTCCCCTCCTGCACCTCAAAACCCTCATCCCTGGCCCCACCCAGAGCCCGCACCCCCAGTTCACGTCCGCACCCCTTCCCACATCACAGCTCCCTGCCCTAGCCCAGAGCCCCCTTCTGCGCCCTGAACCCCTCATTTCTGGCCCCACCCTGGAGCCTGCAGCCGAACTCCTGCCCCAGCCCTGTGAAAATGAGTGAGGGTGGGAAAGAGCGAGCGACTGGGGGTGGGGGTGGAGTAAGTGGGGGCCGGGCCTCAGAAAAGGGGTGGGGCAGAGTAAGTGTGTTCAATTTTGTGTGATTAGAAAGTTGGCAACCCTAAGTAGGTATCATCATAAGCCTAGCAGTTGCGGAGAGTGTCATGAGGGGAAAAAGAAGAGGAGACGAATTAATAGCAGTATGGTTGATGATAGAGAGTAGGGTTATATGTGTGATGTCAGCAAATGCTCCCAACAAGACACACCTCTGGAAAAGAAGGAAAGCTTTAGAAATGAGCTGGCAGAGTTGGTGGTATAGTTAAAGAGTAGGTCTGTCAATTAATTGCAGTTTTAATTGCATGATTAAACAATAATAATATACCAACTTAAATGTATTATATTTTTGAATGTTTTTCTACATTTTTTTAAATATATTTATTTTAATCACAAAACAGAATACAAAATATACAGTGCTCATTTTATATTATTTTTAATTATAAATATTTGCATTCTAAAAGAGATAAAAACTAGTATTTTTCAATTTGCCTCATAAAATTACTGTAGTGTGATCTCTTTATTGTGAAAGTACAACTTACAAATGTAGAAATTTTTTTTTACATAACTGCGCTCAAAAATAAAACAATGTAAAACTTTAAAGCCTACAAGTTGAAGCTTGAAGGGGCATACAAATATTTAACATATCTGGCACATAAATATCTTGCAACACTGGCTACAACAGTGCCATGCGTACACCTGGTCTCACTTTCTGGTGTCGTAAATAAGAACCGGGCAGCATTATCTCCCATAAATGTAAACAAACTTGTTTGTCTCAGTGATTGGCTGAATAAGAAATAGGACCGAGTGGACTTGTATGAGGTGAATTGAAAAATACTATTTCTTTTTTACAGTGCAAGTATTTGTAATAAAAAATAAAATAAAATGAGCACTATATGCTTTGTATTCCTGTGTTGTAACTGAAATAAATATATTTGAAAATATAGAAAAACATCCAAAAATATTTATAATAAACTTAAATTGGTATTCTATTATTGTTTAACAGTTCTGTTAAAGCTGTGATTTAATTGCTATAAGTGCTGGAAGACAGAATACTGGGCTAGATGGACCATTGGTTTGACCCAGTATTGCCATTCTTATGTTCAAAGGGTGTGCCCAGAGAGACCAGAAGGGTTATGAGGTGCAGTTAGATAACTATGAGACCTGGCAAAAAGTTGGAACTAGAAATGATAGGAAATCACCAGTCATAGAGGGACAGTTAGTGTTCTACAGACAAATTTTGGTAACTTTCCCTTTGATATTTTGATACTCAGCAGCTCAACTTTAAATCGCAGTTTTTTGATGCACAAAATCTTTCCTACTGAAATCACAATTTTGGGCTTCAATTTTCATGTTTCAGTTCCCATTTCATATCTTCCACACACTATCCAATTCTGCAACCATTACTTTCATTAGCAGTGTCCCATTGGCTGTGCAACTACAACAGGACTTCAACAGAACCTTGGCTTTCATTTAAAACCAAGTAATTTTCTAGACCTTGTGGTTGTGGAGGGAAAGCTTGAAAATGTGAGCCGAGAGCACCGTAAAAGGTCAAAAGACAGAAGACAAATCTCACCCCCCCACACACACACTTATGGGGTTTTTTTTAAAAAAAATTCATGATTTTAAAGTCAAACTTATGATTTTTGGGGTGGAGCTGTGCCTCATGTTTTTGTCGTTTCGTTTTTTAACATGTAGGGTTTGCAAGACTGCTATTTTCAACTTTGCCTCCATCTCCTCTGCTTTGACACACATAGGCATTGTGACCTTCTCATCTGAGAACAGGACGAGATGTCAAGAGCACCGAAGTATCAGTTCCTGTTTTGACAATGATAGTGTTCTCCTGTGGCTTTGGAAAAGTCACTTAATATTGTCACCTCAATAACTCCATCTGTAAAATAGTGATAAAATTTTCCGCATACATTTCACAAGGAATACTTAATGTTCGTATAACAGTCTGACAATTAAAAGCGCTAAATAAGTGCTAAGTATGCTATATTTATTAAATAAATTTATTAGCTTCTGTAAATTCCTCCTGCCTCTTTCCATTTTGTCTGCTGATTATTTCCTCTCCTTGGACATAAGGTAGGATTCTACAAATGTTAAATCCAAAACTCCCTTTGTTGCTTAATTCTGTTTTGGCTTTTTCTCCTCTCAAGATAAGCATGCTTTAGTCTTTCTCCTCTTTAAAACCATCACTTATCCTTGACCTCACTTGACTCCAACTACTATCTCTTCCCTCTTTCATCCAAAAGCTCACTGAATGCACTGTCTACAATCACTTTCTGGAGTTCCTCTCCTCCAGTTCCATTCTAGAACCTCTCCAGTCTGGCTTCCACTCTGTGTGCTACACTGACACCACATTGCCAAAGTCTCTAATTACCTCCTACCTAAAGATCAGAACCAATACTCTACCTTTCTCCTTGACTTGTCAGCTGTCTTGTTGCAAGACTGGGGTTCGGACTTCATCTTCCTCTCTGAGTTTATAGCAGGTGCAGGTGAACGAAAGACAGGCAGCACCAGTGCATTTAGGATCCCCAAAAGAAGTTCATAATTAGAGAGTACTTAGTGTTCCAGCTGCACCACCTGAAGAACCATTACTGGTTTGTGTACCCAGAATTGGAAATTACTGCATTCCCCTATTAGAAGAGTTGGGGGGAGATCAAGAAAGGAACTGAGAGGAGAAAATGATCCCTTTACACCACCCCAGGAATCTTCCATGTTCAACAGTTGTCTGACTGATGAAACTTGTTTTTAAGTACCTTCACGCTTGGGAGTCCATAAACACAAACATATTTTCTCTAATCTTGTTTGGTTTGTAGCAGGGGAAGGAGCAGTCCAGCTTTCCTGATTAGGCACTGCATTTTATATAGTGTATAGGCAAGTGAAAATGAAATAGTAATGCATAGACACACATTTGGAAGCGAACAGTAGTTCAAACGAACTATTAATAAGTAGATTAGTTAACTTACTAGGTTAATCTGTGGTCTGTTTTTTAAAAATATACATTTAAATGAATACTGTATCTCTGTACACCTGATAATACCAATTGTGTAGAACTGTTTTTCCTAAATTTAGTTCTGTGGTATAAATTACCCCAAAAAAAGTTTAAAAATTTGTTCACAATTTATAACTCAAACTTAGTAAAAATATTTCAAAATTAAGTGTTTTGGCTGTGTTTTTTGTTTTTGTGTTTTTGGTAATGGAAAAATTAAATATTACAATGATCTGATTTGTCTGATAAAACGAAGGCCTGTGCATGATTAAGCAGCCTTCAGAAAGGAAACTAAAGCAAATTAGAAAACCATAAAGCAACAACTGCCCAAGTGCTATTCTTATTCTTGGTTGTCATTTGATACTAGGGTGTAGTATGGGGAGAGTTGTATAGCCCTATCCAAAAATCTGTTCAGGCCTTACACCTCGGAAAGAGAAGCCAATTCCAAATGAATAAGATTAAGTGGAGGTCTCCATTCAAGTATTCATTGCAGAATATGAAAGACACGGAGGGTGCAAGGGGAAGGGAAAATGTATTAGATCATATTTGAAACTTATTTAAGCTACAGCAGAGTTACCATTTCATCTTTCTTTTGCAGAAAACATTGCTGTCTGATCTGTAGTTGCAAGGAAAAGGGGGTGAAAAGAAGAAGGAAATCTGTCTTGGATAAATTGGAAGTGCTTTGAATTTGCAAAGGGATTTAGTGCCAGCTGCTACAGAAGGTTTCACAAAGCCACTTTTGGCACCGAAATGGATGAAATGCTTCAGACCTAAATGGTAACCTTAATTCTTCCATCATTTTATTTCTCTGGTGTAGCCCCTAAGATAACTTGTACAGATTGTAAAGGATTTTCTTCTTAAACCAGTTCGGTTTAAATATAGTAATCTTACAACAGCTAAATTCTGGATAAATCTGTAATTTTACAACTTGCATGTATTCCAATGAAGTTTGCAGTTTTAGCTTTTATATCTGTTTAAGGCCTTGTCTACACTACGAAATTAGGTTGAATTTATAGAAGTCGGTTTTGTAGAAAGCGTTTTTATACAGTCGATTGTGTGTCCCCACACAAATGCTCTAAGTGCGTGTAGTCGGCGGAGTGTGTCCACAGTATCGAGGCAACTGTCGACTTCCGGAGTGTTGCACTGTGCGCAGTCTCCGCCACCCATTTGAATTCTGGGTAGAAATCCCAATGCCTGATGGGGCTAAAACATTGTCGTAGATGGTTCTGGGTACATTTTGTCAGGCCCCCCCTTCCCTCCCTCCCTCCATGAAAGCAAGGGCAGACAATCGTTTTGCGCCTTTTTTCTTGAGTTACCTGTGCAGACGCCATACCACGGCAAGCATGGAGCCCGCTCAGTTAGCCATCACTGTATGTCTCCTGGGTGCTGGCAGACGCGGTACTGCATTGCTACACAGCAGCAGTTTATTGCCTTTTGGCAGCAGACAGTGCAGTATGACTGGTAGCCATCATCAACGTAGTCCAGGGTGCTCTTTTAACTGACCTCGATGAGGTCGGGGCGCCTGGGCAAACATGGGAGTGACGCAGCCAGGTCATTTCCCTTTTAAGTTTCGTCTCATGGCGATTCAGTCCTACCGGCAGTGCACTCTCTTTTAATCAGCAGCCAGCAGAAGACGATGGCCAGCAGTCATACTGCACCGTCTTCTGCCGAGCACCCAGGAGATGACGATGGCTAGCGGTCATACTGCACGGTCTGCTGCCAGCAAGATGTATAAAGATAGATGAAATGGATCAAAACAAGAAATAGACCAGATTTGTTTTGTATTCATTTTCTCCTCCCTCCCTCCCTCCATGAAATCAACGGCCTGCTAAACCCAGTTTTGAGTTCTATCCTTGAGGTTTTGAGTTCTATCCTTGAGGGGGCCATTCTGTTTCTCGCAAAGCCACCCCCTGTAAGCCAACCCTGTTAGCCATGTGGGCAGTCGCCCCTCCCTCCACCAGAGCAAAGGCAAACAATCGTTTTGCGCCCTTTTCCCTGGATTGCCCGAGCAGGAGCAGAAGCCAGAGCACAGCAAGCATGGAGCCCATTCAGCTCACCACAGCAGTTATGGCCATTGTAAATACCTCACGCATTATCGTGCAGTGTATGCAGAACCAGTACCTGAAAAACCAGGTGAGGAGGCGACGGCAGCACAGTGATGAGGACACGAACACACTTTTCTCTAAAACTGCGTTCCCCCGCAATTCGGAGATCATGGTGTAATGGGGCAGACTCATGCCATGGAACGCTGATTCTGGGCCCGGGAAACAAGCACAGAGTGGTGGGACTGCATAGTGTTGCAGGTCTGGGATGATTCCCAGTGGCTCCGAAACTTTCGCATGCGGAAGGGCACTTTCATGGAACTTCGTGACTTGCTTTCCCCTGCCCTGAAGCACAAGAATACCAAGATGAGAGCAGCCCTCACAGTTCACAAGCGAGTGGCAATACCCTGTGGAAGCTTGCAACGCCAGACAGCAACCGGTCAGTCAGTAATCAATTTAGAGTGGCAAATCTACTGTGGAGGTTGCTGTTTTGCAAGTAGCCAACACAATCATTGAGCTGCTGCTATCAAAGTAGTGGCTCTGGGAAATGTGCAGGTCATAGTGGATGGCTTTGCTGCAGTGGGATTCCCTAACTGTGGTGGGGCTATAGATGGAACGCATATCCCTATCTTGGGACCGGACCACCAGGGCAGCCAGTACATAAACCGCAAGGGGTACTTTTCAATGGTGCTGCAAGCACTGGTGGATCACAAGGGACATTTCACCAACATTAACGTGGGATGGCCGGGAAAGGTTAATGACACTCACACCTTCAGGAACGCTGGTCTGTTTAAATGGCTGCAGGAAGGGATTTACTTCCCAGACCAGAAAATAACTGTTGGGGATGTTGAAATGCCTATAGTTATCCTTGGGGACCCAGCTTACCCCTTAATGCCCTGGCTCATGAAGCCATACACAGGCACCCTGGATAGTAGTCAGGAGCTGTTCAACTATAGGCCGAGCAAGTGCAGAATGGTGGTAGAGTGTGCATTTGGACATTTAAAGTGTCACTGGCGCAGTTTACTGACTCGCTCAGACCTCCGCAAAACCAATATTCCCATTGTTATTGCTGCTTGCTGTGTGTTCCACAATCTCCGTGAGAGTAAGGGGGAGACATTTATGGTGGCGTGGGAGGTTGATGCAAATCGCCTGGCCGCTGAATACGCGCAGCCAGACACCGAGGCAGTTAGAAGAGCACAGCAGGAAGCGGTACGCATCAGAGAAGCTTTGAAAACCAGTTTCATGACTGGCCAGGGTAATGTGTGACACTTCTGTTTGTTTCTCCTTGATGAAAACCCACCCCCTTGGTTGACTCTAATTCCCTGTAAGCCACCCGCCCTCGATCACAGCTTGCTTGCAAAGGAAATAAAGTCACTATCATTCAAAAAACATGTATTCTTTATTAATTGATTATAAAAATAGGGAAATAACTCGCAGTGTAGCCCGGGTGGGGTGTGGTAGGAGGGAAGGAAAAGGCCACTTTAAAACTTGTTGAATGCCAGCCTTCTGTTGCTTGGGCTGTCCACTGGAGTGTAGTGGTTGGGTTCCCGGAGCCTCCCACCCCGCATTCTTGGGCGTCTGGGTGAGGAGGCTATGGAACTTGGGGAGGAGGGAGGGTGGTTAAACAGGGGCTGCAGCGGCAGTCTGTGATCCTGCTGTCGTTCATGAACCTCCACCAGACGCCGGAGCATGCCCGTTTGATCCCGCAGCAGCCCCAGCATTGCCTCATACCTCCTCTTCCTGCCGCCACCTCTCCTCATGTTTATCGGCCACCGTCCTGTACTCTGCTGTTGTGTCCCTCCACACAACTCTGTCAGTGCCGGACGACTGCATGAGCTCAGAGAACATGTCCTCGCGCATGTGGTTTTTTTTGCTGCCTTATCTGAGATAGCCTTTGGGACGGAGGAGGGAGGCTTGAAACATTTGCAGCTGCTGGAGTTAAAAAAGGGAGTGAAGTATTTAAAAAGATACATTTTACAGAACAATGGCTATATTCTTTCACGATGAACAACACTATTCACATTACATAGCACATGTGATTTTGGTACAAGGTCGCATTTTGCATTTTGTATTGAGTGCCTGCAGCTTTGGTGTTAGAGATCACACAAGCAGAGCTGGGCAAGAGAATTTGGCTTGCAGGCGGCCATGGTAAGCCATAGTCTTTCAGCTTCTGCAGCCTTTATAACAGCAGCCCCCTCCTTTCCCATACCAAGCAAAGCCTGTTGAGTTGGCCATTTAGTTCTGCAGTTTTCCTGTTAACGTGCAGCAGCAGAAACCAAACTAACCCCCTCCCCTCATCCAATCGCTTTTCCTCTCCCCCTCCGCCTGGCTGGTATCAGGGAAGATCCCTGCTAGCCAAACGTGAACAGCTCAGCTCCAATGGCCCCCGCCCCCCACCGCATGGCCAACTGCGGGGTGGATTTCTTTTCAGCCACAGGCAAATGGCCCAGCAGGAATGGGCACCACTGAATGTCCCCTTAATCAAATTCCCCTATTTCAACCAGGTTACCATGAATGATATCACTCTCCTGAGGATAACTCAGAGAGATAAAGAATGGATGTTGCTTGAATGCCAGCAAACACCAGGACCATACGCTGCCAAGCTTTTTCATGCAATGATACCAGATTACTTGCTACTAGCATGGCGTGGTAAAGTGTCCTACCATGGAGGACGGAATAAGGCTGCTCTCCCCAGAAACCTTCTGCAAAGGCTTTTAGAGTACCTCCAGGAGAGCTTCATGTAGATGTCCCTGGAGGATTTCTGCTCCATCCCCAGACAAGTTGACAGACTTTTCCAGTAGCTGTACTGGCCACGAATGCATCCCAAGTCCTCAGGGCTACTTAATCATTAAAAAACGCTTGCTTTTATAACATGTATTATATTTTTAAAAGGTACACTCACCAGAGGTCCCTTCTCTGGCTTTGTTGGGTTGGGAGGGTATTTCAGTCAGGGTGATAAAAAGATCCTGGCTGTCGGGGAGAACGGTGTGCTGTGTGCTCTCCTCAAGCTCGTCCTCCTCCTCCTCATCTTCCCCGTCCGCAAAATCCTCAGGCATGGTGGAGAGTACCCCATCATCGGAGTCCACGGACAGGGGTAGGGTAGTGATGGTGACGACACACACCTCCCCCCCTCAAGAATTGCATGCAGCTCAGCGTAGAAGCGGCATGTCTGGGGCTCTGTCCCAGAGCGTCCGTTTGATTCTTTGGTTTTTTGGTATGCTTGTCTGAGCTCCTTAAGTTTCATGCAGCACTGTGTTGCATCCCTGATGTAGCCTCTGTCCCTCAGGCCTCTGAGATTTTTTTGAAATGTTTTGTCATTTCGTCTTCTGGAACGTAGTTCTGATAGCACGAATTCCTCTCCCCATACAGCAAACAGATCCAGTACCTCCCGTTCAGTCCATGCTGGAGCTCTTTTTCGATTCTGGGACTGCATGGTCACCTGTGCTGATAAGCTCACCTGGCCAAACAGGAAATGAGATTCAAAAGTTCCCGGGGCTTTTCCTGTACACCTGGCCAGAGCATCCGAGTTCAGAGTGCTGTCCAGAGCAGTCACAATGGTGCACTGTGGGATAGCTCCCGGAGGCCAATACCTTCTAATTGCGTCCACACTAACCCTAATTTGAACGGTGATGTCGATTTCAGCGCTAATCCCCTCGTTGGGGAGGAGTACAGAAATCGGTTTTAAGAGCCCTTTATGTCGAAAAATGGCTTCGTTGTGTGGATGGGTGCAGGGTT